AAAAAAAAAAAAAAAAAAAAATAGAACAACACTAGCTAAAATATATTACGTCAAATAATTTTGCTCAGTCCGCGGATTGAAATAATTTCGCTTGCGATAAAGAAAAAGAAACAAAAATATACTCCAAAACTTATCAAAAATTATCTCGTGTACGCTAATTGCTGTTGAATTTTACATACAATGTCAAACTAATCATACTTTCCACGTTGTTATATATCATAAGGCCCTGTCTTGCTAGTTGCTGTTGTTAATATTATCCATTAACTCTCACTTATTGTTATGTATCAGATAAACAGATTATGTCCGTTTGTTGTCCCATGTAGACACGGAGATGGTGCGAATTCGATATAACAATTGTGTCCGTAAATTTTGGACAACAAAAATCTCAATGCACTTTGTCCCGGACAAAGAACCGGCTCTTCAAGGACGGGTTGACTGGACGTCCGTTAATACGTTAGTCACGATTATTAAATCTTCCGTCTACGTAGTTGCAACCATGCGACCTAAGGAAAGACATGCAACTACTGCACAGAGTTAGGGACCAAACACACAGTAAAACTTAAGTAATAAAACTTAAACACAGTAAGAAAGTTAAACAATCGATTATTTTTCGACCGTAAAAAGATCGTTAATCATGATTGGTCAATTTTCTTACTGCTTAAGATTTTCTGTGTGTCTCCAGCCATACTCAAGTAAGGCTATCAAATAATCGCGAGGTTCCCTTTGTCCTGCTAAGTCTTCGTCCTCGATGTGTCTATAGATCTCGAACTGATCACGCATCTAAGCGAAATGTGGCCATCTAGTTTGAAGGTTCAAACGTGTTTACATGAACGTCATATCATTTCATCGCGACAATCAGACAGCCGTATTCAACACTCAACAGTGAGACAAGTTGTTAATTTAGAACATGTGCGTATATCTTTAAATAAAGCGTTTCACTACATAATTTTCCTGAACGTAACTAATAGAACGATTACCGCGACGATTTCTAATTAGCATACGGTTCGTAATCTGTTATGTAAACAAGAAAGAGAGAGAGAAAAAAAGAGAAATACTGCCAATTATCTCGTTTGCAATAAACGAACTTGATAAAACTCCTTTGTTTCTCTTTAATTCCCTTTTCTCCTTCTTTCTCTTTCTCTCTTACTATTCAGCAACGTAGATATCTTTCTCTGACTAATAATTAAATTTTCTATGCGCACTTGTCATTGGTTTCTTTGAAACGTGCTAAGAGCCAAATACCAATATAATCAAACTGTAAACTCGCTGCAGCGTTGTGATGATTATTGTAATATATTCGAAGCATTCATGCACGCGCACATACACACAATCGAAACGTTCACTCGATTCTTATTTTTCATTCAGATTCTTTTCATCACCGATCCTCCTTCCTCTTCGTTACGTCACAGTCACACTCGACTCAATTCTCGTTCTCCTAACACACACTTAAAAAATTCAATGCCTCGTAAATTACACGGCTACATCTCACTTGCAGTATAATACAGGACAGCAAAAAAATAAAATATCTCCAACAAAAAAAAAATGCGAAAGAAAAATAAACGGAAACTAAAAAAGGCTATCTGAAGAAAATCTTCCCGTACGAAGCCGTGTCTTCCGGAATGATCGATCAACTGGGAAACTCGTTACCAAACACGATAAAGTCCGCGAGAAAAAATTGTTGATAAGGAGATGTACCAATGTGATAACGATCGTTAGTCGGCCGGTTACTGAGCGATTAGTGTTAGGATTTCAAGTGTTTGCGGGGCGAGTCTCGATTGTGAGGTTTCTCAACGCTGTTGTTGGATCAGAATATGATTGAGATAAGAGTGCGCGAGAATACCGGAGTCTCGAGAATGGCGCGAGAATACGCGAGCGATGCAAAGTTGTAGTAGGAAACGGTTATCGCGCGAAAAATCGAACGCTTTCTCGTTTCTTCTTTTTCCAAGCGGCGACATTGAAGCGTATCGTTTCCAAAACCGCAATGTAACTTCGCCTGTTCGCGCTTGTCGTCTCGTCAGACTGAGAATCATAAATCCTGTTCGAATTTCGTGTGTCGTGTTAATATGGGTAATATATATGTGTATATATGTATGTATATATATATGTATGTACGTGTCTCTCTTTCCGTATGTCCTTTTGTAAGTTTAGCAGTATATGATAATCTAAAATACAATATGCTTATACGTTTTGTCACAGACGACGCGTGATGGAGTCCCAGAACGCAATATATATGTGTATATATATGTATGTTTATGTATATACACATATATGTATATATATGTATATATATATATATCTCGTAGACAACGCGCATCGATCGGGACACCGAGCACCGCGTTCTCGCGATATATAGTCTATCATTAGTCTGTATGCTGCGTATCTTAGTGTAAAGAACAGACTGCGGCATTCACTCGGTGAATACTTGGTATTCGCGCGCGCGCGATAAAATCGAAAGCCCGTGTGTAGCACGACCCGCACGCGGGGATGCAGCGTGTCACCGTTATCACCATCATCATTCGCATCGTTAATCGTTACCGTGGCCATCGTCTTCGTCCCAGTGTGTCTTGCGATTGCGAGTTTCGAGACACAACTTGTGCCCCGTCGTCGTCGTTGTCGTCGTCGTCCTCTTTGACCGAGGATCGACTACGATGTTCTCTCTCTATCATACCTGACTCTTTACAAACTACTGGTGGCGGCTAATTCTCGAACGGTGGGTACGCTGTTGGTGCTTGGATATCAGGCCTGAACCTGCAGCACCATTGTCAGGTGCCTCGAGATATCCTGGACCGACTGGTGACAGCCGTTCATCAGTCTCGTGACCCAGTGGCTCGGCGGCTTGGGGAGGCTCGCGGGCGATGGTGGTTCCGAAAACTTGGCGCCTGCGTAAAAGCTGTTGTTGGTCGGACTGCCGCGCGGACTATACTCGACGCGTAGCGGCGAGTTCCTCGTGCTCTTGGACGGGGAGTGCTGCGGGCTGCAGCTCAATCGACCGCCGCTGTTGGTCCTGGCGTGGCGGCCGCCGCTGTGAAAGAACGGCGACGACTTGCTCGAACGATGGTAACGATGACAGTGGCGTTGGTGCCGGTCGGCCCCGACGACGTTCGGCGAGGCCTGCTGCTGTTCAACTTTGTTGTTCAACTTGGGCGTGGAGTTCGTCATGGCTCGGATATCCACCTTCCTCTCGTGTCGATTTGCTACGTCGTCACTCACCCTCACGTTCAACCCAGCTCTCTGCAATACGAAGTTCGAGTTTAAATCCGCACTCTTCATCTTTAAGTCCTTCTTCTAGTGTTGCCTCTTTTTCTCTAAAATTTCCCTCTATAATAACAGCACTAATGCTTTTAATATTGTTTTCAAAATTATTTTCAATCCACTCTAACCTTGAATGAAACATTCACTCTTGTGATTTCGAGTGGCTATATTTTCATTGTCCGCGCCTTGAGTGAAAATCGGATTACCATTTTTCGCCCCAAGAAATTTAAAGAAACCAATAAAGTGTTTGTTAAAGACTGCTATTCATAGTCGGATCTTATATTTAAGACCGTCTTAAGTTCATCTTTAGATGATGTATGGATCATTTTTTTGACTATGAGGTATCTGAAAAGGAACTTAAGATGATCTTAAATATAAGATCCGACTATGAATACCAGCCTACGACTTCTATGTCCTCACTGCGGCCATCTTTATTTATAACGTCAGAGAAGCGAGAGAATACACGCTAAAAATTTTGGCAAAACTTAGAAAAAAAAAATAAAAAGACATAATTCATAAAAGGACACTCATAATCAATCAAATGTGCAAAATTCGACCAAACACTTTCCTTTTGTTCTAACAATCAATAAATAACTGCAAAATTAATGCGCCACAAAATCATGAAAAAAGGTACATTAGAAAGATAGGTCGAGTGTCATGTTAATTTTACAATAATTTATTGACTATTAGAGTAATAGGAAACCCTGTTCGGACTACTCTATAAATGTACCCGAATGATCGCAAGTGTCATTTTATGGGTATAGCTTTTTATTTCAATATATTTTGTGAGGAATTTTATCGTGTATTTCTTCGCCTGCGATGTCATCAATCGAAAGGTCCACGGCGAGGGATAAAAAGCTTTAAAGTTCGTCTACAATACGCGGAATAAACTTGACATAAGTTAAAATAAAAAATAAAAGTAATTTATTTCGCTTACGTCTATATTCTAGCTTCCTTACACCGGAAATATTCCTTTCAAGTAAGAGAAATACTTCCGGTGTAAAGGAGTTATACAATATAGAGACATAAAATAAATTATTTCTATTTCTTTCCAACTTACGTCAAGCTTACTCTGTGTAGACGAGTCCTTATTGCTGCTAACAAGATTTGCAATATAATGTGGTCCTACTAGCAATGCTTTACAATTATAGTATACAGTGCAGATCTTCAAACAGGACTGTCGTAAACATAAGTTTTCTTGTTAATAACAGTGATAGAAACGCGGCACTTAATCGCGAATAATCCGTTAGGGATTCTTCGAAAATTCCGTGAATTCTTCCTGAGCATTCACAGATTATATGGGAATCGTGAAATACGAAGGTACGTGTATGATCTAGACAGATAAGAGACGTACTTCACGAGGCTGACCCACAGCGCGAAAATATTTCGCGCGTCTGCGTGTTTACATAACAAAGATAAACGAGACGCGCAATGACCCTGCGCCGAGCACGATTCTCCGATAGGTCGCGCCTCTTTCCCCGTATAAATATTGACTGCCGCGTTATCGCGAGAAAATAAAGTTTGATGCGTTCCGGGAAATAAAATAAAAAAATACGCGCTGTCTTTACTGTGTGATAAACATTGTTTACGCGCACATTGGAATTTGCATGATTTTAAACGTATCGCGTAAGACATCTTTACGTATTTATTTATGTAAGAACTGTATCTTATCAAAATCTTTATACACTTGCGAGACATGGATATTCGTAAAATCAGACACGATGGATATTTAAATATACTAAGCTCTAACTTCAAGTCCTAAACATTAATTAAAAAATGTTAAAGAAATTTTACATAAAAAAGTTCTCTTTTCTCCCCTTTGTATATTTGCAGCCATCACATTTAAAACATATTCAAAACTATATAATAAGTAAATGTTTTTAACTTCATTTAACAAATATAATTTAGAATGTTTCATACATATTATTTGTAATGCTTGTAGATGGTTGTGATATTAGAATAAAAATATATATAGTTAAAAATTTAATATATTAAGTAATGTATTTAATATATTTATAATATATTTATAATATATTTAATATATTAATTTAATATATATTAGTTATAAATTTAATATAAAATGAATGGATGAATGTGGTTAAAACTTTGTAAACAGATTCCTTTTCTTAACAAATATATAGTAATAAAATACATTATATAAATATATATTTCATACTTTCTTTCTCTTTCTCTTATCATATCTATATTATTCAGAAGAAACTTATTCTTAACTTGTTTGTCATTATTGTCATATAATACCAAAGAAGCTCGACTCAATGAAACTAAGTAGTGGAGTTCGTGGAAAGTGAGATAAGAAGAAAACACAGACACATACCCAATGCTATCATATTCCAACAATAAGACACATTACTTGAGAATGAGTTCTTGCGTTTTTTCTCAGCTCCTTACTGTTTTATCTAGTTTTTCTTTATTACGACCCAGTATAGGCTTTGTTTAATTGATATCCGCCACTACACGAGATATCGTACAGATTTCAACAATTCCAAGAGCTCGACCGACGAGCCTAAGTCCGAGTCCACAATAGATGTAGAAAGTCTTTAGCCTTATGTTCTAAATCCAAAACTATGACGCAATTTTCAACTACAAACGTTTCGCACTGTTGTCTAAAGTCATAATCCTCAAATTCTAAACGAATTAGCCAGATTCCAATTGTTAAAACAGTGCGAGAAATGCTTTTTGTCAGAAATTATGGGCCTTACAAAATAACGTTAGAGACATTACATCTATCGTAGACCCGAACGTAAACAAAGTTACCATCATTGAGAATCTCTCTTACCGTTAACGTTCGCGGGCTGCCTTTTGGGAGACGATATCCCGCGTTCCCGTATCCGGCGTCCGTACTCCGCAATTTTTCAAACTGCGCAATAATCGCGGTAGCCGGGGCAAAAAGATGGCGGCGGCGGTGGCAGCGGCGGCGATAGTGGGGGTGGTGATGGTGGGGACAATAACGACGACGACACGGAGGAATTAGCACGGTGCGGCTCCCCGGGAACCTGTTAGCGCGATGCTACCTCGTTTCAAGCTCCTCTTCCTTCGCAGTCCTCCCAGTGCGCATTCCTCGCAAATTCGACCACATCCGGTGACCGTTGGCCACCGCGCTTCCTCCCTCTTTGTTCGTTTTCCCTTTTCTTCTCCGCCTCTTCCTGGCCTGCTTCTCCGTTGGCTGTCGCTGTTTGCACAGCTTTTTCCTGGCTCTCGCGCGACCTACTCTCACGAGTGAGGTATACACGTTCCGCTCGCTGCCCGACACGGTGACAATGCTGCTCCTCACTAACCGTCTCCACTTGCGCGAAGGCACGCAAGATGGCGAACGCGATATATGACCTTTGTTTGTTTTCACAGCGAGCACCTCCACACGCTCGACCGTGATCCACCGCGTGTGACTCCTCAACAACGGATTTGGACGCGTGTTCGTGCAACTCCGCGGGTGTCGTAACACTTTTCGTCGATTCCGAGATCGAAGTCTCGCCACACCAATCGTGCACGCTCGTATGTATTATATGTATATGTATATATATGTGTGTGTGTGTGTGTATGTGTGTGACGCGCGGATGTATTACTCGTTCGCGCTGTTGTTGCTTCTGTTCTCGATCTGTTCGACTCTTCGACGTGCGCTATCACACCGTGTCTTCCGTCAATCTACTTCGTTATTCGTTCTTACTTAACTTCCTAATTTACATCACACACATGCATAACAGTCGCTACACCGGACACTCTGCTCTCGCTCCGTCTTGTACCCTCTAATGTTTCTCACTGATTCGAGGCATTCCGTTCTTGCTTTTTTATATTCCTCTCCCCTCGTTACTGCATCGAAACGAACATGCGCAGTAGTGGCCTGCTCACACGATCATTCAAATCTGTTCTATAAGGGTGCTATTTCACGTATCGTACGATACGTATTGTCGGACGTGCCGATTGGCTTAATGCAGGATTCACACCGCGTCCGATGTCCAACGTACGACGTCCGATATCCAATAAAAGAATAGCTTTCCAATGGAGAATTGAATTCTATATTAGAAAGCTGTTCTCCTATTGGATATCGGACGTCGTACGTCGGACATCGGCTTGGTTTACATCGTGCACTTGATACGCGTACTAAATAGTAACTTTCTATTAGATAATCTTATAGCATGTTCGACCGGCTCTGAGTTAACCCACTCTGGGTTATTCAACCTACGTTTATCGGTCGAACAAGTACTTATAAGTACTTACAAGTACTTACAAGTACTTTATGTTTGGCTAGTAGAGACTTATGACGTCATTAATCGCTCTCGGAGCGATTAACCCAGAGCCAGTCGAACACGCTATTAATATCGACAATATATATATATATATATATATATATATATATATATAAACAACGGTATATTAAGCTGATATAATACTCATCAACAAAACGTAATGATTGAATGCGTCGCCGTTGATATGCATTATATGTATGTCGATATTAAGATTATCTAGAAAGATTATCTAAAATTAATAGAAAGTTACTATTTAGACGCGTATCAAGTACGATGTAAAACAAGTTAGGTACCCAACCCTTAATTTTACTAGTGCCGAAGGATATGATAGGCACAAGCATCTAGTATCTTCATTATTCATGATGCAGGATTCACACCGCGTCTGTGTCCGACGTACGACGTCCGATATCCAATAGGAGAACAACTTTCCAATGAAGAATTGAATTCTCTATCAGAAAGCTGTCTCTTATTGAATATCGGACGTCGTACGTCGGACATCAAACGCGGTGTGAATCCTCCATAATGTCTTAAGATGCGAATAGGACTCTGTGATTGGTTCATGACATCTTAAAGGGACGTCTACATTGGAAGTAAGTAGGAAGAAAGAGTAAGAAAGTGACCAACCATAGTCGAATGTGAGAAGAACAATCAACTATGATTGGTCAATTTCTTATTCTTACTTCCTACTTCTTACTGTTTACTTCCAATGTAGACGTCCCTTAAAGCGTCTTCTACAATGGCAGTAGGAGTAGTAGTAAGAAATAAGCAGTAAGCAAATTGACCAATTCTATTCTCATGTTTCAAAAATAATCGATTGTGATTAGTCTATTTACTTACTGCTTATTTCTTACTACTACTCCTACTGCCATTGTAGAAGACGCTTAAGACAGTACTTAAAATGATCTTAAATATAAGATCTTATATAACTAGGATTTCTTTATCAGGGCAGCGATCATGTAACTTTTTCCCTAGGGTGGAAACGTGTAAAGTGAAAAGTTTCACGTGAACTCGTGATCATGTAACTCGGTGAAATGTGAAAAAACGTGGAAAAGTGAAACTTTTCTCGTGAACTTGTTACCCACACAGCATAGAAGTTTCAAAAAGCTTTCAGAAAGGTTTCAGAGACACAACAGGAACGTTAAACCTTTCTGAGATCTTCCTGAAATCTTTCTAAAAGCTTTTTGAAACTGCTGTGCTGTGTGGGTAGCCATGAAATGTGCTGGCGGAAAAGTAAAAATCTAGTGACATGATGAATACGGAATATATTATGCTACTGTGTGATGACCCACACAGCAGAGATGTCCAAAATATATCATAAGGATATCCTAAAGATATATTTGGGATATGTGATATCTTCAAGATATCCTTATGATATATTTGGGACATTCTTGCTGTGTGGGGAGATACAGGAAACATAACAATCTTAAAGTTATAGCGATGTTTTTAAGATCATATGTTCTACAGCCGATGGATATAGCTGATTTGGTCGATATTGAAATTATATAAGAACCATGTTTAGTGATTTGTGCTTTTCACGCAGTTACTTGATTGCGTGAACAATGAAAAAGTTCACGTGAAATCGATAGAGCGAAAAGTGAAAAGTTCCGCTCGAAGTTACGTGATCGCTGCCCATGATTGTTTAAATGTACTCTACCTGATCGAGTACAATTTTGGAACGTAGCCCTGCATAGCTTTGAGCTGCGTTCCGAAATTCACTGCTAGTACTGAAAATCTATAGTTTATGTGATATATATTATAGAATTTCACAATTGGCAGTGAATTTTGCAACCTTGTGGTCTGTTCTTTTCAGCTGCACTGCTGAACTGGTGCAATAAGTTAAAGTGAGACAAATATATTGGCCTGTTCTTTTCAGTTGCACTGCTGAACTGGTGCAATAAGTTAAAATGAGACAAATACGTGTTTTTTCATTCTAACTTATTGCACCAGTTCAGCAGTGCAGCTGAAAAGAACAGACCAGTTGTTTTCTCACTCTAACTTATTGCACCAGTTCAGCAGTGCAGCTGAAAAGAACAGACCATTGGTCATAGTTTTGTGCCACGATCAGAACGAATGGAAGTTTACAAATATCTTTGATATTATCGATGGTATAGTATTCTTTCTATATTAACATATCAATACATACATTTTATTATTGTTATTACAACATAATACAGCACTTTTATTATTGACGTATGTAAATTTTTCTATAGAATAGTCTGTAATATGGTTAGAATTATGTTTTAAAATCATAGCACTAGTCTGTGAATTGATTATGTATCTATTTCTTTCGTATAAAATCATGAAAAATGAAAAGTTTTATTGAGGAATTCAAGAAACACGATAGAAGATTTATTACGATTAAATCAAAACAATTTGATTAATATATCATAATATACGACAAAGATAGAACGATGTTTTTTTTCAGCATGAAAGCGTGCAAAAGCTTGGCCATAATTAACGATAGATTTCGTATCTGATTGTTTGTTTATCAGTGGTATTTCACAGATTCGAATAGGACTTGACGGTTTGCGGTAGTTTATGGTGTATTGTAAGTAAATAAAGAAATATATATGGCCGATTTACGGGTGTTATTGTTTTTATATACGAAAAAGTTATTCAAAGAAAAATTTTGTCTACATTTGTATAGTCTACATAGACTAACACAAATTGTATTTCCTAATTTATGTTTATTTTTTCTTATTTCTATTTTTCTATAATAAATTTTGCTTTGTTCCCAATCCTTTTGTATGTTTATGTAAATTTAATTTTTTTCATTTTTTTCATTTTTTTTTATTCTTAACCTCTTTGTTTCATCATTCTTCAATCTTATAGAAAACTATAGACAAAGGAAATATATAATGATGTACGAGGAAATCCTTGAGGATGCTCAACAAGTCAAAAGAACTTTGATGGTATTGGGAGAAAATGTTGATTTGAATGCGATATGTGAACTGCTACAAAATTCTGGTCCTGATTACAAACTGGAAGATATCATTAACATGATTACGGAAAACTGGAGTTCTGACCGTCAAAACAATTTGGATGAAGCAGGAACTCCTATCGTAGATTTATCATCTATCACTGATAAATCTGTAATATATGATGATCCCACAATTGAAAATATACAAGAAGAATATGCTGAGATATCGGATGCTTCTTCAGATTATGATGACAGAGATGATTATTATGCTTCCACTAATTGGGATGATATTTCAGTAGTAGATACTGTAACACGATCAATACCATCTCCTTTAGAAGCATGTGATATTGCATCATCATCATCAAATCATAACAGTGAAGTCACAGTTATTCCTCCTGATGTAGACGTTTTAGAGGAAAACAATAATGATCCTAATAATAACTTGGGATTTCTATTTCAAGAGTTCCCAGATATTTCTTCAGATATTGATCATGAGAGAAGAGATACAAATGTGAAGTCTTGTGCAGAAATTGTAGAGAAACCTGAGAGTCCAAAGCCAGGTTGCAGTAAAGATTCACATGATACATTTATACCACTTAAATATTCTAGACTTCACACTGAAGCAGAACAAATAAATGTTCTTTTACCTAGACTTAGGCGCAATATAATTTACAAAACACTGTGGCATAATTGTAATGCAAAAAATCGTATTGAGCTTACTTTATGGGACTTGTTACCAGAGAGGAGACCTAAACCGCAAATTCCATCTAAACGGAAACTTTTGGATGATATGTGTTCTATGGAACATAAAAAAAATATTGCAGATATGGCTATATCTGATGATGCAAAGATTACACATTCTTATTCAGAGAAACCACATTCTGTATGTAAGAAATATCCACATGTAAAGAAACACATTTCAGATGAAATTATAATTGAGGATAATACAATTATTGATACCAGTCAACAGAATGTAGATTCCACTACAAAAGTAAAATTATATAAAACGGATAAATCTGGTAATGATGTTAATACATGTAATATATCTGATAAAGAAAAATCTGCATCATCAGAGGTTGATACAAAAACGGAAGAATTACAAATAACTGTGGAAAATCCAATAATTCCGCACAAAGCAGGAGCAGGCGAGACAGTACGTCACAACCACTCTACGACTATATTACGGCCATCAAAATTAACTCTTGGTCCTAACAATAAATATATGACACTCAAATCATCATCAGTACCAACTTCTATTTTATCACCGCCAAAATTCAAAATCGTAAAAAATTATAAACAAGTGCCACCTGCAATTGTACCAACTCGGAATTCTGGGAAATCAGCTATGTTGAAACAAAACACTGAAGAACATGCAACTTTGGCAACATCAGCAAACGGAAAAAACACTCAAACATCTGACGTAAACACAACTCAGTCACTTATTAATCTCACAGAGAATAATACTATCATTTCGCAAGATAAAACAGTGCTGATTGTGAAGACGGAAACCAAGTTATCAGAGGATAACACATCACACACACAATCGTGCAGTACAAAAAATGTACATACTTTAAGCACTGTTCAAGACACTAATAGTAGTAAAAGTGAGGTTAAAAATTTGAAGCAAGAAGGAAACGATATCAATACATCTCAGGTTTGTAGTAGAGACGCGAAAAATAGCAACAAAAATATAAATAGACATATAAATTAGTCAGATCTAGCACTGAATTAATATTTAATTTCAGGTCATGCCTTCAACCAGTGAAGAAGTAAATATGAATATAACTAAGCAATTAAAAGCATTAAAACCTTTACAACCATCTAATAACAAACAAGATCAAGCATTGTTAAATCATAGAATATTTTATTGTGCAGCTAATTACGTTGCAGCAGCAAATAATCAAACCGCAATACATGAAAAGGCATCAACATCTAAATTTGTTGCTGACAATGTACAACAAGGTATAAGTTTATCATATTACAGATATTGTCACTAATGTTTTAAATTCTTAAAAAATTAATTAAAATGTGTGTCTGTGTGTGTATGTGTGTATGCATGTATGCATGTGTGCAGGCTATGTGTATGATATGATGTAACAAATGATAACATTTTATGTGTAGAAACAGATGCAATGAAGAAGAAACAAAAAAGTACAGAGAATAACAGTGATAAAAAAATAATATTAAGCCAACAAGCTCTTAAAATATATTACAAACTATTACCAATGTTCCCATGCGTAGATACCAAGTTTATTAAACAATTATGTCAAGACTACGTTGCAGATGATGATTTACTAGCTGGTGAAACAGTTATATTGCAAAATTTAATTGAATATTTGCTCAATCATAGTCAAGAACATCCAAATATTAAAAAGCCTGAACCTTTACTACCAGACTCTTTTGACTTAAATGAGCAATATGTCAATTTACTGGAAATATTTCCAAAAGCAGATCCTACATACTTAAGAGATGTAGCTGAACAAATGTATGATAAACCCGATATGATAAAGCAATTTGTTCAATCAAAACTCGAAAATCCAGATTATCCAACCAGAGAACAATATCTGGCTAAAAAGAAAATTACAGAGCAACAAAAACAATATACTACAGGCTTTCAAGTATCACAGTTCTTAGAGATATTTCCAAATCCATTTTTGCATTTTGAGGATAATAAGAGAGAGTGTCAATTTGACATACATGCAGTAGACTTTCTAAAACATCACTTTAATAAAATCAGGGTAATTGTTTAATTGATAAGATATACATATATATACATACATACATACATACATACATATATATATATATATATATATATATATATATATATATATATATATATATATATATAAAGTTATAATATTTGTTATAAAAATATCTGGTATTTTTGTAGGTAAATACTTTGCTAAGTACATATGCTGAATGTAAATATAATTTAAGCCTAACTGCAAAAACTTTGGGAAAACTAAATGCTGATATGAAAACTAAACGGATCTATCCATTAATACAAACAGAAAAGATACCACTTCTTCAAGAGTGTGCTTTTATAATACATAAAGCAGATTTACAGGTATATTTGGACAATTTGAAAGAAAATGAAGAGAGAGAATTTAGAGAGCTTAAGGTATTATGCAAAATAAAAGATATTTATAAGTAATTAGTAATAAATAAATTGTGTAGTAAAATAATTAAGTAATAAGTAGCAATTAGAATATTAATAGAAATGTAAGCAAGAAATTATTGTTATTATTTTTATTATTTTTCTAGGCAAGAAATGAACTTTTAGAGTGCCAATGTTGTTTCGACAATGAATGCATGCCATCAAAATGTTCCACATGCAACGATGGCCATATTTTTTGTAATTCATGTATTATTAAGTGTACAGATGTGAAATTAGCAGAGGGTGAAACGCACATCAATTGCTTGATAGATTGCGGCAATGAATTTAATCTTTCCATACTTCAACGTGTATTGCTTCCAACTAAATTTAGCATTCTTCTTCAAAAACGGCAAGAAGCGGAGGTAATGGCCGCCGGATTGGAAGGTTTAGTATCCTGTCCATTTTGTCATTTTGCATCTATACCACCACAAGAAGATAAAGTGTTTAAATGTTTCAATCCTGATTGTATGAAAGAATCATGTCGGTAAGTATAATTGTAGTATTTTATTAAACATAAAGTTAGAAGATTAACAAAAATGCGATTTAGAAGACAATCGAACTATATGAATCTTTACAATTATATGTTAATAAATTGTTTTATTGTTAGATTGTGCAAAGAAATTAATCACTTACCTCTGAAATGTAATGAAATAAAGTCCGACGCCGCTCGTTTGTATTTGGAAGAGAAAATGACTGAAGCCTTGATACGAAAATGTTACCGCTGTGGGCGAACGTTCTTCAAAGAAGAAGGATGTAACAAAATGACTTGTCCATGTGGTGCTCAAATGTGTTACATTTGTGATAAACCAATATCGAATTATGGACATTTCAGAGGTCAAGGGACAATGGCATCTAATCTGTAAGTTTTACATAATATATTTAATGTCTACGCGCACAATTGATTATCATATTATTTCTTTTTACATTTATTTTACTATTTTTAATATAGCTGTCCACTGTGGAGTGATGATCGCCGTATGAATGCTGAAGCTGTAATTCATGTCTGTAACGAAACCATGAAACAGATTAAAGAAAAGAATCCTGAAATCGAAATCAATGCTAATGCCCTTTTACCAAAATTACCACCTAAAACTAAAGGCCCTCACGACGACGTCGCTCATGCAAATATACTACCAGTATGTACCATACAGTTTATATATTCCACTGAATATACACTTTTTGTTAATTCACAAAAAATGTAAATTTAAATCATTTTTTATATACATCATTGACAATGATATTTCAATGTCCTTCGATTTATGTTTTAAAGAAATATTATGTTTGAATTGTATATAGAGATTTGAAAATCAATTATTTATTTTTCAGGCACATGCTAATAGGGTTGCAAGACACATTCCATGACAACTTTATGAAAATATTAATTGTTTTCTCCTATGTTTTGTTTTAACATATATTATTGCATCTAGATTTATCTTATTTTATATTCAGATACACAAAGCGTTTCCTGTAATATATACAATTTACCTCAAGTCTGTTCCATATCTTATAAATTTAATATCAATAGTCCATTTTTTTATATCATACAGATTCAATAGTAGTGTTTAAGACAGCATTTTGTAAGCCAAAGGCTCTTGCTAGTCTTGTGCGATTACGTACAATATGAACTTATAGGTACTGGTAAAGCGCAGAGCCAGAAATTGTGATTTATAAAAATACCAGATGTGTATTTATTTTCCAAATATTAAGTACTAATAATAGAGAATAAGAAAATATTATTTTAATATTAACGATTGAACTCTTTATTGCTGAAATTGTTTGTTGCAATTTCAAAAACGTTATGTGCAACAAGTAACAAGAGATATTTATATAGTTTCTACTTTTTCTCAGATAATATTACATTGAAAAGAATGTTACGAAATACTACATTGAATGTCTTCTATGAGGGAATATTCACTTATATAAAATTATCTTAAGAAGAAAGAAGATAAGAATTTCCTCTATCAATTGCATGAAAATAAGTTGAATAATATGAACAATAATTTTATATTTTTGCAAAGATAACATAAAAATAAGTTCTTAAATTTTCTTGAATTTATAATAATTTAAAATAAATAAGAATTATATTAATAAAATAGAATTAGAAAGTTATTTGAACAATTATATATAGCAATAGAGGGTTAATGCCTATTATGTTAGATTAAAAGTTATGTAAACTATTTTTTTACAAGTTAATATCTCTAATAAAATATTTGTTCCTATTTTAGACAAAAATAGTTTGTATTTTGTAATAACCTTTTATCAACTATTTTAGGTCTGTTAAATTATGTTTAACTATATGTTCATATAGAAATTAACTAATGTTACAACAGCTCTTAATTATATTTGTAATTGTGAGATTTGTTGCTTTTAGCTCTTATTACTTTCTAAACTTTCGTTCTTTTTCTATGGTTAATGCGTGAGTTTATGTGCAGAAAGCGTAAACGCAGGTAAGAAACAAATAAGGATTTATCCTGCTTAATAATATAATACAATGTTTATAATAATAACAGAAATATGTATATTTGTGTTTTATATAAGATAATAAAATGTTTTGAATGTGTAATATATTTTTGAATATTACTGTTTCAATCAATAACAGTGTTTTCAAGTATTTTCATAAAAGTTAAAATAATGTTAACGTTTTGTATAATGAAATAATTATATTTTTACGTGAAATCATCTATAGCTAGTCCAATTGATAATAGCCCTAACAGCACAGATGTTCAGGGGACATCCAGAGTATATCATGAGGAAGTCCTGAGGACATTTCTTCGTCCTCAGGACGTCCTCAGGAGATCTTATGCTGTCTGGGTATTTATAAGAGATACAATATTATGATCTTATTAATTATGATCATAATTATATTACATTAATATACATTAATTATAGTACATTAATATACTTAAATTATAGAACAATCTCATTAATTATATTATCGAATAATCTAAAATATAAATATATATATATATTCAAGTCTAAACAATTCCAACAGAATATCGAATCGATTTGACTTGTGTGTGTATGTGTGTGTGTGTGTGTTTCGCAATTACTCTTTTCGCGATACATCATTCACAGATCGAGTAGATTGAAGCGTAGTTCAGATCGGATATTGTAAGATTCAAATTTAAGGGCGCGTTCGAAAAGCACGCTACCAACGCTACCGCGTTCTTCTATCTTTATCGTTTCTTAGATAAACAACAAGGATAGAATGATATGGTAGCGCTGAATAGCGATAATAGTGAGCTCCCCGAACGCACTTTAAGGTTTCTGGGTATTTGCATCGTCCACCTCTTTTTAATAACGTCAGAAATGAGGAAACATATGCTAAAAATTCTTGCAAAATACGTTGAAATAAAAAAATATATTCATAAAATAACATTTGCGATAGATTAAACACCTCTAAAATATTCCGTAATAACTTTCCTCTTATTCTAACAATCAATAAATAATCGTAAGATTGATATAATAAGATAATGAGAAAATTAGCTTGAAAAAGAAAGTTGCATATGTTAATTTTATGGTTATTATTGTTAGAACAAAGGAAAGTATTCGGAATATTTTAAAGATTCTTAAGAAAGCTTAATAGATCGTAAATATCGTCTTGTGGATATATTTTTTTATCTCGACGTATTTTGCAAGAATTTCTAGCATGCGTGTTTCCGTTTCTAACGTCATTAAAAACCCTGACGAAAATATAAATTGTTATGTACCCGCTTGCTTTACGTTCCGATGTTTCAATTTACGCTTTGTAAGCGTTTCACTTACATTTCCGTCACTCTTCGTTTACACTTTATTTATTCTCCAGTTTTTATTTTCGCCAGGGAAGAGAGTACCAAGGAATCTTAAAATCTAAATCGTTGTCTAAAGATTGTTACAGCCAATATTAGGTAACTGCTGTGCTGTAAACATAAATGACTGAATTACGAGCAGCGCCGTGTGCGCGCGCATCGCTCGGGCAGATCACGGGTATACTATTTCTGCGAAACGAGGAAGCCTCTGTCGTTAATGATATAGGACGAAACAAGGGAACGCTGGAAGGTAATTCATGTCGGGAGAATCGGCTTATGGTAGCCAGAGTGAGCCACAATGCGGTTCATGACTCACAACCCATGTGCTAATACGAACTGTCGCGAAAGCGTTGGCAGTCGTCGGTGAGCTTTCGGCCGTGACAGTCACATACTGTACTCGAGAGGGCAACGGAACTGCAGCTCAGAATTATCCGCCAGCAAGAACCGACATACGTCGCTGTTGGTGAGTACGTAATACGAATCTCTCTCTCTCTCTCAATATATGATTCCAGACTTAATATGTGACTTAAGACAGCGGTTTCAATGCTATTCGTCGGAAAATACAGATGTCTTTCTCTGTCTATTGCCTTGCGGATAGTCGGTCCTATCGATCGTTCTCTTGTATATATACATATATATATATATATATATAGCAACGGTACGACAATTCGGTGTGCGCTATAGAAGGGCGATGCGTTAATCGATGTTTCCTTTCGATACCTCGCGGAACGAAAGATATATTTGAAAGATTGATCACGTTGCTTACGCGCTACGTGCGGCTCTAGCACATCGTTCGCGACGCGCGTTTGCATAAATATTCCGGTCACCTCGCTAGCGTGTACGTGGCGATTGTGTTTGGTGGGCGGCTTTTGCATTTGAAACATTTGCGCACCGGAAATGAATTAACTGTAATGGAAATTGTTGCGGTGCGTCCACATTTCGATCTAGGAGCAGTCGCGTTATAACCACGTTCTTTTCTACGTGATGAAAGGGGAAAGGAGAATGTTTCTTCGTGGTAGAATGTTCTACTACATAGATATTGTTACTTCACTGAGTACCGTTAAGATGCCCGAGATGTATTCTCTCGCAAGATGTCTCGGGGATAATCGAAGTTATTACTTCTTTATGATATTTGACTAATTATATGCATACACAGTGAACATCTACTATTATACCACTGGCAGCAGTTCGAACTTCTACAAATATCTATTTATATCGTGTACAATTTATTTTTTAAATATTACGTATGCTTTTTAATTTACTTCTTCAATGTTTATCTTTTAATTTATCTTATTATACTTAATAAAAATATATTTATATTTTAGCTACTTGTTTTTTTCATTTGAAAAAGCAAGCCATAAACATGTTTACCGGAATTACTAATTTAACGTAGTTCTTCAATTATTCGGAACAACATAATTAGCAATGGTCAATAAACAATATCACATTATATATTACTGTCTTGTCGTAGCCTTGACATTGAACTGAATAAAACTAAAATAATCGAATGAAACAAAAATAATTTTAATTGCCTCAGTTTTGCTAATACGTATATCTAACATCGTGTCGTATATGTATTCTTGCTTTGCAAATTACATTCACTCGCCAACAAATTAATTTGCATATTCTCTCTCTCTCTCTCTCTCTCTCTCTCTCTCTCTCTCTCTCTCTCTTGCTTTCTGTAAAATAAAGCAACTTTGACGATCTCTTCTTCGCGTGTTATGGTATTAATTTTTATGATAAAAGAACAAACGCGTACAAACGGGACAAACACGTATCTACGTTTGAGTGTGTTGATATTGCTCAATGCTCCCGTATTTACGACTTCGTAATTCGCAATTTGCCAGTTTTTTCTATTTTCCCATGAAATAAACCTGTTAAATCATATTACTAAGTATACAAATAAGAAGCTGTACGGTTAGTTTTAAATATATGTATGTGTAAACTTAGACAGCACCAACGTCTCTAAATCACCAAATTAAATGCGTAGTAAGTTTTAAGGTACAAATATTAAACTATCAAATTTTATTTAATAAGTCATTAAAATTTTTTAGTCATTTATCATGTTTCGCGTATCCAGTAGTCTTTCAGTTAAAGATTAGTAAATTTATTATGATTAGCTCAACACTTTTTATCTTTGGATCAAAATTTTCCAACTTATATTTTATGTTTTAATGTGTATCACATATATACGTCGTCATTATGACTCAGATCGATAAACTTAAAGCTTAATAGGTTGCAAGTATCATTTTGTAGATATATCTTTTTATCTCGTACGACGTATTTCGACGTATTTCGCAAAAATTTCTAGCATGCGCGTTTCCGTTTCTAACGTCATTGAAAACCCTGGCGAAAATATAAATTGGAGAGTAAATAAAGTGTAAACGAAGAGTGACGGAAGTGTAAATGAAGCGCTTACAAAGCGTAAATTGAAACAGAATTTTGTCCGAAGGAAGAGCGCACACGCTTACATCTCGTTTTGTTAGTGTTTTGTGAAAGTAGGACAGTTCCCGCACGCTCGTGCGCTTATTTACACCTACATCTGTCTTTCTTTCTCTACACAACTCTTTCTTTCGAATTGACAAACTTTTTTTTCAATTATGTGTCGATTTAAGTTTTTATATAATATTTTGTGCATAACAATTTAACATTTCATAAAGTAAATGATAAGAAAATTCGATCTTTAATACTTATCATTAATTTTATTAACAAAATGTGACGTTTCTCCTTCTCATT